GAGCTAATCATCACCGCTGATGGGAAAAATAACCCCGTAAGAAAAAAATCGGGGATACACGGTCAAGCTACCCAGTGATAGTCTTGTACCGACCTTGATGGAGCTAAAATTCCAACGGCGCTGTGGATTGAACAAATTCTGTCAAGACCCTTCTAAACAAGACAACTGGGTTCCACCTCATCAGAAAAAATACTTTAGCTTTCTACAACTGCACAATACTGATTTCAAAAAAGTGGAAACAGTCGTGGCAGAAAATGAGGTATGTTTTAGAAAAATGTTAAAAGCTAACTGAGCATCTAAAGCGCGCTACTTCTATTAGAGAACAGGCAGCTAAGAGGTAAGAACAATATCATAAACAATCGATAACCGAATGAAAAATAGACCTACCTCTTTAGTCATTGCATTATAAGCTAGATTCAATTCATAGTCTTCTACGCAACATACAACACCTCCAACATTCTCTTTCTGAAAAAAATGCGATCACAATGTCCCAAAACAAGTGAGTATATGAATCTTACATTTACAAGCTCATCTCGCATTGACTTGAATGGTAAAGCCCCTACAATGAGATTTTCATCTACTCGGTTAAACCAACACCACTTCTGAGGTTGTATGTAATTCCGTAGAAGATTATAACCCAGTGATGGATAGAAGGCAAGGCCTCCCAACATATCTGTAAAACATGTTCTCCGATGTGCAAGAAAACACAAGAATAATCACGATCGAGCTTTCAAAAAAATTGATTTTATTTCGCGAAAAATTTATCTTGTACTGGGAAAAGACAATCCATAGAAAAGCGAAGGTCCCATGGCCAGTTGAGAGCAAAACAGTTCCATCAAAACTAACAGCGACGAACTTGTGCATCACAAAATGGTGAATATTGTGCAATAAAATGGTAATCTCACCTATTCCATGGGTATTAATTATATCGAACCCATATTTGTCGAAATTCCGCACAAAGTACTGTGATGAACATCAAAATTTCTATCTTACAACAAAAATATGTCATCAGTATTCTTCAAAGGTTAGTCACACATTCAGCGGTATTATCGTACGCATATAAGCAAACTTAGCTATTTTGGATGGTAAAGAGATTCTGGATATGAAGTCTGGTAGGTAACAATGCTGTCATTAACAACAACGTATTTCATTGTAGTTCAAACAATATCAAAAATTTATACGCCATAGCCACGATTACATATAAATAAGTTTCTCAAATCTTATCACAGATAACACACAACTCAATTAAGGGTTAC